CAAACCGTTATTTAAAACTTTATATATTTGTAATTGTAGGACAAGCGAGAAATTAAGTAGCGTCTGTAGTAACGACAAATAGCGTCGCCATCTCGTATCCAACAAATAAATTCTTGAAGCATTCCTCTCAGCATAATATTGCTTGTTCTTATTTTATTGCTAGCAGCTCAAATAAGGCCAAAGGGATCAAAATAATGCTAATTATTATCGATACAATATATGATTATCAGTAAATGCATTAATGCAACTGGCTGAAAAAAAGCAAGACAGTGCACTGTTCATAAAATGATTGCAATATAAGGGGCTATTTATTTATATATGGAATGCAATTCATATATATATTAAAGGCTCTATATGCATGGAAGATTGTGATGGTTTTTTAATCAAGATAAAAGGTCGCACTGCGATCGCTGTGCATTCAATTAATGTTTTTATATAATGATGTTGTCAAAACAATTCTTAATGAGTGATAAAGGAAGGCAGATACATATGACTGACCTTCTTTATTGTAATGACATAGAATATTAGAATCAGAATTAAATCAGAATATGTGGTTTTGAGCAACTATTCGTTAACGATAAATCACGCACTCCCGTGATTCAGAAAATATCGCAACAAAGAGGGTCAACCATGAGTAAAACTTGCGGTATGGTTTTAGAATTCCTTAGCATCTATACAGTATAGTTATTAATTGACAAAATTTTATTTCCGATCTGCTGTTTTCTTCAAGCCATATGAATAAATTGGCAAAAACTGCATCTATGCTCGGAAACAAACGGATACAATTTTTTTCGTCAAATAAGGCCAAAAAGATAAAACTAGAATGCAAATTATGGATACAAGATATGATTCTTGGTAACACACGACTGTGCATTGTTCCTAAAATGATTGCAATACAGGGTTATTTTTTTATAATATGGAATGCAGTTGATTAAGGCTTTATGGAATATTGTGATGGTTTTTTAATCAAGATAAAGGGTCGGACAGTAGCTATAAGGTTGTCTGCATTTAATTAATATTTTATATAGTTATATACAATCGCAAAATATTTAATGGGTGATAAAGAGAGCAGATTTTACATAATATTAAGGCTTTATATAAAATAGGATATTATTCGCTGATTTTCACGTTCCATTAAGGCTAGTTTCCCCTCAAAAAAATTCCAAAAAGACCGGAAAGTTTCCTTTGTATAAACGCAGCCTGAGAACTCGCGGACAAAGAAAATTCTCCTGTCGACTGTTCCGTCCCAAAGAGATTTTTCCGTAGTGGAAACTAGCCTTTACTATGTATCAGAATTATACTAGAATCAATGGTTTTGAGGTATGCAACTACTCGCTAAAAGTAAATCACCCACTTTCGTGACTCAAAAAATATTGTGACAAAGAGGGTCAACCGTGCTTGGTTAACAGAATTCTAGAATTCTCTAGTATGCATGGATGTATATGCAGTATATATATGCCTTTTAAATCAACAGAATGTTATTTCTCATCTGTTCTTTTCTTGAAGTCATTTTTAAATAAATCAATCCGTAAGCACAATGTAGGAATAGCAAAATTTTCATTTTGGAAGCTGCATTTTATAGAAATAGAAATCAACAAGGACGTTAATAGAACACATACAAAGGAAACGTACCAGATTATTAGTCTTTGTTTCCATCCACTGAACGCTGACAATCACTTGATTGGCTGGAATTTAATTCAGTTCAAACATTTATTTAAAATTGAAATAAATATCGAGCACTGCTTTATCTTTTAATTGGAAGGCCTTTTGTTAAACATTTTCATTTCTTTATACGCCGCTATGAAAATTGCTTTAAAACGAGCATGCGACTAAGAGTATTTCCAGACCGCAGATATTCTTCTAGTATATTTTATTAGCTAAAGTACTTATTGAAAATTTTATCTTGTTTTCTTAAGAAATGCAATTTTCTCCAAATTATTTTAAAATTCTGGCTCGATTTGATTAAAAATACACGCAACAAGATTGTTCCATTTATGTTTATTTAGTAAATTGTATATAAATTGTATATATAAATTATAACAGACGTTGGGTTGAATTAAGGAAAGTTCTAGATATTTTAAAATTGTCAATAATTGTCAGTAATTGTAATAACGCGCGAAAGGAAAATTAAAATATTTTGATAACAAGACTTGAGATTTAAAGACACTTTTCTAGACACTTTCTCTTGTTAATTAATGTATTTTTATATCATATTTTCGCCAAATGGCTGCGAGGGTTTTCATCCAACGAGAATGCTTTAAGGTTAAGCACTCGCGATAAGTGGAGAAGGGTCATAAAAATATTGGAAACATTATTTTGTGAAATGAACACTTATGCAATAACATGCCCATGCCCATCCCTTGACCCGCAGGCATTTTTAATTGCGAATTTTTTTAAATTTAAATGCACTATTCCTCTGCAAGGGTTTATAAGATCAGCACAAACTAAGACCGCTTATTATTACAAACGTATGCTCAACGTGGCAACTTTCGAAACCGCTTTGAAAAAAAAAGTAAAGTGTAAACCAATCTCATTTTTTCTGTGGTGAAGAACTTGGAAGGGTTACAAAGATCATCGAAATGTAAGTACACATGCAAAATTCGCTCATTTGTCTTCACACATTTGTTAATCAGTTATGGGATACACCGTTTTTAAACTAACAAACGTCAAATATCACCGAAAGTGTTTCTTCAACCATCTGAATTACTTCTTATTCAATGTAGCTTTATGCATGGCAGTTATTTGTACTGCAGGATTTCGCAAAGGGTATTTTATTAATTGCAATAAGACGATATTAGTCATATTATACTTCAATATCTGCCTGACTGAGTATATCCAAGGGCTTTACGAAACATTGGTTTTTTAAAACATTTGTCTCTTTGAATAAGTGTTTATAAAGAAAGCATCATTCTGTACGCAAAACCCTCTCTTTCTAGATATTTTGAAAACGAAAATTGAACGCACCAAATGACATACGTGTAGAAAGACTTGGCGAAGTTTGCTAAGGGGCTGTTCAAAAATTTTACTTCCGTTCAACGTGTGTGTTGTCAAAAATGCCACTTGCTTTAAGCTCACTAATGTTTTAAAGTAACTTTCTCGGCCATTTTCACAGAAATGAATGCAAAAGTAGTTTCGATTCAAATGTGTTTACCTTCAGAAATCTCTTCATTTTTATATTAGTAACTTTTTTAGATTATATAGTGAACATATTTTTCTTTTCAGACGGTTTTGTGGTTTCTAAAACGTTTTTAATGTTTAAATTTTATTACTTTTGCACGATATAATTACGATTTTGAGCACGTATTACGCGATATAGCGCAAAAAAACTCCTCTCAATTAAAAAAAGAGAAAATCACCGCCCTTTTTCCACAGCATATTTCAGTGCGCTAAGAACATCAATAACTTCGAAGAAAATCAGCAACAAAAGATGCCATGGCAAAAAATTGCTGTCGCAAGTGGGGCTTTGCGAACATTTAATCAAATTTCGGGCTTTGCCTCCCTTCGTAGCGTTATTGTAACAGTTTGAAAAGCTCGTCATGAGCTCATCAACAAGTCTCTATCGTTTTTTCAAGCTAACTTTCTGTTCCTGACCATTTTGTAGGATAACCAAAACAATTATAATTTCTCTCCTCCTGGTCATTGTTTGTGTCACATCAGGTCATGGGAAATCATTGCAAACTGGTAGGCATCTCTCTCCAGGCCATCCCCCACTCCCCCCTCCAACTGGAAAGCGTTCTATATTGGACATGCATTTCGCTCCCAATCCCCTCCTCCCGGCCATCCCCCACTCCCCCCTCCAACTGGAAAGCGTTCTATTATGGACATGCATTTCGCTCCCAATCCCCCTCCTCCCGGCAATCCCCATCCCCCCCATCAAACTGGAAAGCATTCTATTATGGATATGAATCCTCGTCCCAGTGGAGAACGTTGATGCATTTGTGCGTTGGTGCAGATGCCACCTGGTGGAAAACGTTAGCTTAGTTTAATGATATAAATTTACACTTTTACACTGATTTTACAAAACGTCGTATCGTAATTATCAATGATTATAAACACTACAATAATTAATCTTCTTCCACCACCTTTTGCACTATTGAACTGTTATGTGAGACACGTATGTTATCATGAAATTGTGTTTACTTTTGTAATGTTGAACGCAAAATACAACATTTTCATAATCATCATCAAACACGGGGCACTGTTATTATGTCCATTACTGATCATTGGGAGTGGAGAGTTTTGGCGATGCGATCAAGTTACATTAATCCATCGCCTCTACTGTTTTATATGAGCTTTTTTACCTTGAACTATGATCATTTTATTTCATTAGCCTCCATTGCGCGAGATTCAACCAGCGAAGCTTGAGTTGTTGTTGAATTCAATAGTTTATGCTGTTACTTTTTATGGGAACCAGTAGCAATTTTATCCTAACAACTTTTAAAAAATTTTCCGCAAGTTATAAACGACTTAAAAACAGAAGTTGAATAACTTTGACGCTTGGCCGAATCTGTAAGAAATGTTTCACGACTCACGGATGATTTGAGCTGTATTTACGTTAGGGGATAGAGACTGGCCTGGCTTGTGCTTTTTTAGACGGTTTAAACGGCCAGACTGGTCCTATTAAGTTTAATACCGAACACTATTGCTGAGTTGAGTTAAGATCATAGCGTTTGAATACACTGGTATTTTTTACGTGCTTACTATGAATAAAACCTCGATAGCACTCTTATGCACCGGATAACGATTTTTTAACCGTTGTAAAGATGCTTGGAAATCAAAAGATTAAGATATGAATAGGTTCAATCTAGGTTATATTAAACTACGGGTAGTTTCAGTTGTAGAAACCACTATCCCATTAATAGCGCTATCCTGCTTTCGTGCAACCAACCCAAGAAAGTTAAATTCTAATAAAGGGTTTGAACTAATGACTATAAATAAAATACAAGGATATGTACTCTGTTCTGATGCGTCTAGCTCCCAGATTTCACGGAGTCCGTAGCTCAACGGACCAGTATTCGTTCGAAGGGATTGAGAGTAAGTAAAAACGTATTGAAACAATCCATGAACAATGCACTTCCGTAACTCATTGGAGAATCCACTTCTTCCTGGAATACGGAACTCATTTGACAATCCACTTCCTCCTGGAATACGTAACTCATTGGAGAATCCACTTCTTCCTGGAATACGTAACTCATTAAAAAATCCACTTCCTTCTGGAATACGTAACTTATCAAAAAATCCACTTCCTCCTGGAATACGTAACTCATTAAAAAATCCACTTCCTCCTGGAATACGTAACTCATTAAAAAATCCACTTCCTCCTGGAATACGTAACTCATTGAAAAATCTGCTTCCTCCTGGAAGACGTAACTCGTTGAAAAATCTGCTTCCTCTTGGAATACGTAACTCATTGAAAAATCTGCTTCCTCCTGGAAGACGTAACTCGTTGAAAAATCTGCTTCCTCTTGGAATACGTAACTCATTGAAAAATCTGCTTCCTCCTGGAATACGTAACTCATTGAAAAATCCACTTCTTCTTGGAATACGTAACTCATTGAAAAATCCACTTCCTCCTGGAATACGTAATTCATTGAAAAATCCACTTCCTCCTGGAATACGTAATTCATTGAAAAATCTGCTTCCTCTTGGAATACGTAACTCATCCGACAATCCACTTTCTCCTGGAGTACATAACTCATTGGACAATCCACTTCCTCCTGGAGTACGTAACTCATTGGACAATCTTCTTTCTCCTGGAGTACGTAACTCATTGGACAATCCACTTCCTCCTGGAGTACGTAACTCATTGGACAATCCACTTCCTCCTGGAGTACGTAACTCATTGGACAATCCACTTCCTCCTGGAGTACGTAACTCATTGGACAATCCACTTTCTCCTGGAGTACGTAACTCATTGGACAATCCACTTCCTCCTGGAGTACGTAACTCATTGGACAATCCACTTCCTCCTGGAGTACGTAACTCATTGGACAATCCACTTTCTCCTGGAGTACGTAACTCATTGGACAATCCACTTCCTCCTGGAGTACGTAACTCATTGAAAAATCCACTTCCTCCTGGAGTACGTAACTCATTGGACAATCCACTTCCTCCTGGAGTACGTAACTCATTGGACAATCCACTTTCTCCTGGAGTACGTAACTCATTGGACAATCCACTTCCTCCTGGAATACGTAACTTATTGAAAAATTCACTCATTTTTGAATACGTAACTCATTTAAAAATTCACTTCCTCCTGGAATACGTAACTCATTCGACAATCCACTTCCTCCTGGAAAACGTAACTCATTGAAAAATTTAAATCCTTTTGAAATACGTTACTCATTGAAAAATCCAATTCCTCTTGGAACACGTAACTCATTGGACAATCCACTTCCTCCTGTAACACGTAACTCATTAAAAAATCTACCTCTTCATGGAATACGTAACTCATTGAAAAATCCACTTACTCCTGGAATACGTAACTCGTACTAATTGAAAAATTGACTTCTGCATCGAATACGCAACTTATTGGACAATGCACTTCCTCCGGGAAAACGCAACTGGTTGAAAAATCCATTTCCTCCAGGGATACGTAATTCATGGAAAAATCTACTTCCTCCTGGTATACACAGTCCATTGAACAAACCCCTTCCTCCTGTAACACGTAATTCATTGGGCAATCCACTTCCTCCTGGAACACGTAACTCATTGAAAAATCCTCTTCCTCCTGGAATACGTAACTCATTGAACAATCCACTTCCATTAGGAATGCGTAACTCATATGGAGCTCATTAAACAACCACTTCCTCTTAAAAAACATAGCTCAGTGTACTGGATTAAATTTAATATACGCTATATATACTGTTATATACTGTTATTACCAATATTACCATTAAAGATGTAGTATCAATACTGTTAAATTGTTTCAACTGTCGAGTGTCGAGAACATTCATTCCGTGTATTTAAGATGTTGTGTTTACTCGTAGCGTTGAATTGTTGCCACTCGAAAATACAACTCCTTTTTATTGCATTTTCGAAAAGTCGTCAGGAACCCATCACCCTTGACAGTTGACACCCCACCTTGTCACGTGAACTGAATCGTTGGTTGACGTAAATCAGTTCCCAGGTAGATTTCTTTTTAGAGAGTTTTTTGTGAATATTTTTTTATTCAAGTACGAATACTTTCATGCGTAAGTTTATGTATACAGTTCTTAAATGTGAATATTTTGGTGAGATTTCCCAACCTTATAAAACGATATACCTATGCGGTTTAGTATATCGATGACAAAAAATAGGGTAAGCATAACGTACATGTGGGTAGCCTTTGAATCTGAAAGCCATAGTGAATAACACTCATGTGTATATGAAATTAATATTGTTATCATGCTGCTGGTAGTCACCAACCGGGTAAGCTGAAGAATAGCTTGACCACTGTGGGAATCGAACTGAGCTACTAGGTCAAGACAATTCAGACTAGGTTCAAGACATATCGAACTGTCTTGAACTTGAACTGTCTTACCGGGTTCGTGATTTAGAGTACACTGCATGAAAAACCGCGTATTCACAGGTGAATACGTGCGAATATGAGTTCGAATATGGTCCATATTCACACGTATTCACAGATATTCACTGTGAATATCCTCGGAATATTGGGGGTATTCCGATGTGAATACCTGTGAATAAAACACACCGCGTATTCGGACCTAGAATACCTTCGAATACTCTGTGAATATTTTTCAAGACCTAGTATTCACACTTCGGCATAGAAAATGTGATTGTACGCATGAATACGGGATAATCAACGAGTTATATTGTGTAAATATTGCAGGAAATGCGTTTATATACCACGGAATAGGCAAAGGTTGTTTCAGTTCAATGCCGGTGTCAACTGTTATCCAGCATTTCTTCTCATCACGGTCAGAAATTGAAATTGCACTTGATTTGTTTAGGCGACAGACAATAAAGACAATAAATGTTACCAAGCGCACGATGATTTTTATTTGATTAATTTTTTTGCTGCCGCAGGGATGTCGAGTATCGTATATCCTCAGTCGATGAGCGCTGAGTAGCCTCGTAAGTCGTAAAAAAGCTGTATAAAAAGAGAAATATCTATCAATTTCTTTAATTACCTGTGTAAAAGAAGTTATATATAAAAAAATACTTTTATTTTTGCTTGGATACGTAAACACATGGGTAGAAAGTTGATGATTCTGTATCGTCAAAAGCATCCGTAATATATACAGTTCAGTGTTGGGAAATCGTAGGAAATTTCCACTGAGCTATATAATAATTCCTGGAGGACCGGCTCGCCACCAAAAAGTGTAACGAAAAAGATGGCGGATTTTCAGCTTTGCTGACGCCACATGGTCCCCTTTGCCCATGGTAATTACCACTGACATACCGCGATACAAAGTCAAAAACGTGTCCATCACCCTCCCGATTTTTATGAAAATATTTTTGGTTTTCGGTATTGTTTTCGGCATATATTTTCTCCGCGTTTCATCTAAAAAGACTCTTTTTCCCTGTTCAACAAGTTAAATGGAGAAGTGATTTTTCGCTCTACATATGATGCTGTGAATGGCCTAATTCACCTATCGGGATATCAATTTTTACCTCAGGTAAGCCGGTTTTCACAACATTTTCGTTTTTCGCCTTTGGTATAGACAACTACCAAAGCGTCTGTTGCAGTTTATTTTTTTGAAATTAATGTTAAAACGGCAAATATGCTGCAGAGTGCAGCCTTTTTGATCAATGGTACATGACTTAGTTACGCTATGAAAAACTATACTTTATGAAAAAGGATCAATAACTGATCTTTTGAGTTTTGCTATGTCTTGCCAGTTTTGGCTTTTGAATAGAACTCTTATGGCATTTGCACTGGAGCTTTCACTCATATTTAATGCCAACTCATGAGTATTTTCAGCCAAACAATTAAGATGAATCAATATTCAATCCTCCCAGTGAATCTATTAGTCTCTCTATTGATCCTTTAGATGAATTTAAAACATTAAACATGATGACTGTGTGAGTGCTGATACAAAATATTTTACTGTCAGATTTCAACAGTGGTTGTTAAAAGTCTAGTATGTTATCTTGTTTGCCTTGTCAAATGCAAAGTCAATAATCATGGCTTAATAGACTTCTTGGCATCTTGCACCTTGTTGATCAAGCTACAAGCTTGATTGTTAATCAGTTTGCAATGGTTTTATTCCCCTCTGGCTCTGTCCTCTGGGTGTACTTTATTGAGTACAGTTAAACTTGGTCTGATCTCTCTTTTTTAGGATGAAGATGCTATTGAATTTGGGGATGGCTTTTTGCAAATTACTGGAACATTAAACTGTTAATTTTACCATGTTGACTTTGTTAGTCATAGTTAAGATAGTTATTTAAATGGAAAATAAATTTATACAGACATGCATTGACTGAGCAGTTGTTTTCAATTTGCAGCAACTTCTGGACAGTTTTACCCTCCCCACCATTCAAAGGAATATTATCATGGGGCTAATCAGGAATTGAAGGTTAATAGATTATAGACTAATGGAGGAATGAATAGGCTCAGTTGCATTTTCATGAATTCATGAGACATTTGTTTAATAGCACAACTAGTACCATATTCTTCTTGGTAGTTGGTACTATAATAAAATTTTGTTATTACCATAGCCTTTCCTTGCATTATCTGGAATATGATTATGATTGGAAAATGCATTACTTGGGATACAGTAAGATAGGGGTAACTTAGGCTAGCTATAATGACCTGAATGAAAATATCCTATGCAAATGACTTGAAGTACTATTACTATATCAGCTGCCCAGCATCTTGCATGAGGTTTGGCCTTTTTTTCCTTGAGTTATGGGCTGATATGCATAAGCATGATGTTCTAAGGAAAACATCACATAACAACATATTTTCTGCCGGTAACCTTTAGTCGGCGATTGATATCCGAAAGATAATCCAAATTTCTGACAAGACTCGAAAATATTCAAGTATTTTCAAAAATTTTATACAGAAATGTATGAATAATGAAAATAATAAATAAATAAAATACCTGTCAGCTAATCGTATATAAAATCCTTCGTCCACAATTTTTTTTACGTTTTAATATTAATATTTTCTCTGGCATTCGCAAAACAGCGTCCACGATTGTATAGAACTGAAATAAACGCCTTATTGCAACGCTTTGTAGCACAAAAATAAATCGAAAAATACAAAACAGCAAGGTTTCCAATTCATGTTTCACGGCAAAAAAAATATTCATAAAAACCAGGGGGAAATACTGTTGTTTAGATAAACCAGGGGCATCTCTCGTAGCGGGCTCAGATTTGAGCCTGGTCAGTGGTAATTACCCTGGGCAAAGGGGACCATATGGCGTCAGCAAAACTTCTGCGCAGTGCGCAGAAGGCAAAATCCGCCATGTTTTTTTGTGCAAAAAGATGGCGGCGAAGTTACCGAAAAATGACGAACCGGTCCTCCAGGAATTATTATATAGCTCAGTGGAAATTTCCTTTGGGAAATTTCCTCTTCGACATGTTAGTGACAATTTTTGCGCCAAGGAATTGCGGCGAAATTGCGAATAAATGGCGAAATTCGGAGGTCGTATAACAATAACAAATAAATGTCTTTAAATGATTCCTCGCAAAAGTTGTCCAGTTACCTTTGTTTAGAAAAGGATAACATGGCACAAATGTCAATTGGTTTCAACCAGGGCGCTTATATATAAATGCGTGGTTTCAACAGAAGTTCAAGCTGTTCAACTTTGAATTGTTAAATATGTTCGCGATGCCCCAAAATAATTCTTGTGGCGGCGCTAAAAATCAGGTAAGTTATTTAATAATAACAAGAGTTATGTCATACTATAGTCCTGAAACAACACAACACAACAACAATAGTGCGAGGCCAACGCTTTTACGGCTGGGCTCATCACTTTTTTTGTTTTTATTAATATAAATAGATTACTATTGTGTTTATTGTAGCTAATTTGTACACAGCTAACTGTACCTGCTTGTAAATAAATAAATTGTATGATGGTTTTCATCAATCCTACCTCCATCACACACTAATTATAGTAGGTACAAATGTTTGCCATTTCAAAGCTACTCAATACAAACAAAATTTAAAAGTTTGCCAATACTGAAAAGGGACATTACTTTCTTACCTACCACAAATATTCAGAAAGCTGCTGTAATCATAACTTTAACATAACATAACCCTTAGATAGACGTTTCAAGATGCATTGAAATGAGGTGCATTGGTGCATTTCATGAGGGTTTTTTATTTTAGGCAAAATTTATATATATAGATATATATTGTTATATAATTGTCACAGAATAGCTAATGATTGATTGCCAAAAGATTGAAATCTTAACAATCAGCTGCCCAAAGACAGAAATCTTAACAGCTTAGAAATCAAAGCCAGATTGTGTTTTTTAGTTATATATAATACATATTTTTTAACAAAATAATGGCCTATATTTTTCCTTTTAGCATATATGAATTATATTTACACTAATATTTACCACAGAATAGCTATTGAACTGGTTGCCAAAAGATAGGAATCTTAACAACCAGCTGCCCAAAGACAGAAATCTTAACAGCTTAGAAGTTCATGCTAGACTGTGTTTTTAAGTGAAGCCTTTTAACATTGCCCTCATCATAATTTATAACTGAGACTGTTTACTGATTTGTTTGCAATTACTTTTCCGTACATAAATTATAATCACAATACTTAAAGAATATACCATTAAAGTGTAGATGAGTTTACTACAGCTTCTCGATGTTTGCATACTAGGAGTAGCTATGTGTATATACAGCTTTAAGTTCATGGAAGAATTTGTTTCCATTTTTACCCTAATTGATTAGCTTCCAAATTATATGAATGGTGTGTACATTGTACATTGTACATATACATTCTCCTAGGAATATTAATTTCATTACACTGCATAAATTCTATGCACAACAATAAAAACAAATGGCCATGCATGCAACATCAGCTTTTACCATTATCATTAACCTTTCGGATAATAATCTATTATAGCTTAAGAAAGTTTGCTATGTATTTTGTTCAATAATTGCTTTAAGGTGGTTTTAATTGTTTTTAGCCATCAGGGGTTGCAAGATTGAGAAAATTCCCAAAAGAGTTGGCCTTAACTTTGCTAAAGATGAAGAGGATTTTTCACCCAGTGAAAGAAGTTCCTGATTCATTATCTGCTCACCTATAGTTTTTAATATCTTACCAAGTGAAAAAACATCACTTGCTTTGCTCAACAATTTACTATTAAGTATAATTTCTGACATACTCCAGGAGCAATGTTTCATATATACTAAAACAACATTGCTTATAAATTAACAATCAGCTGATGAAAGATTGAAAATCATAACAGCTTAGTAGAAGTTCATGATAGGCTGTGTTTTGCTACATATTTTTGAACAATTTGTGATGTTCCAATAATATTTTATAAAATGTGAAATGTTGTAACCCATCACATGTACATGATCTGTTAAGGACTGTATAAAATTTAAATAATTGACTGAAATCTTAGTATTGCATTTGATCAACCTTGATAAACCACATTAACTGTGGATAAACCTACCATTGCAATGTGTATGACTGCTATGCAAATTAACATGGCAACCTAAAGATTATGCATGTTTGTTCATATTGATATTTTCCTTAATGGACAGACTTGAGGGACAATAAATGCCTAAACATTCGCACAGGCTGCGAACGCATAACCCATTAACCTCTTATCACCAGGTAATTTGTTAATAAAATGTTGAGATTACTCCCAACATGGTCATAGGGTATAGTCTATAGGCCGGCTATTGAATTCAACTGCACGATATTTAGTCACTCACCGAAGAGGTCCCTTACGCACAAACAGTATATGCGTTTTCGGTTTTGAACAATAAAAAATCCTTGAAATACGGTTAATATTCGTTATCATTTTACACGTATTAGCGAACATAAGGTGCTGTGGAAATCGCGCCATGCAATCTCATTTCTATTTCGCGCATTTTCTTCATCAGACTTCGTGGGAATCGTAGCATACAAATACTCGCCGGCATGCTCTTTAACTGCGACCAGAGTTTCCAGACTTTACCAAGCCCTTGGCATCCTTCACTCTCTTCCCTTATTTATAAGCGCCAAAAAGATTTCTTACAGCCACAAACGCACGATCTCCTCGTTCAATGTTTATTAAACTCGAAAGCGCGCTTTTTGGTTTTTGCGCCAAATTATTTATAAAATTCCACTTCAATTTTTCAGCATTCAAAATAAAGTTTAAAAATGTCAGCTGATGAATTTATTTTGTGGAAACACGGATTAAGTGAGAAGTGAGATATTCCAAGTGTGAATATTGGTCAGAATACGCGGCATATTCACGGCGTATTCACACTTAGAATACTGAAGAATACGATGCCGTATTCACACTAATATTCCATGTCGGAATACGCTTGGAATATGTGTTTTATTCACACCCGTATTCACATGTGAATACCTTAGAATACGGCGCTTTTCATGCAGTGTAGTATCATCACAATATTCAAATCTGAACGCCTTTGACACCAATCACTGATCTGAGATCCAATCTATTCACAAACTTGAGGACATCAGTTTACAATGAATAACTTTTATTTAAACTTTGAAAATACCATACAAACTGTTTCTACTTATTAAAATTGTGTTTTTTATTGACTGATTCCAAATACAGTATTAACGGATTTAATTTCTTTGTAAATAATTGCATACAATTACTTAGCCACACACTGTTCACCAGCATTCATATCAAATATTGAGCATGAGAACACAAGGAAAAAAAAGAAATTTTTTTGTCCGACCCAGTCTGGAGGATAATTTTCTTGACTGGAAACCAGGCTTTAGTAACAATCACACATTATGACCCAATTGACAACATCATTTGAACATACCACAATACGTTTCACTGTTCTTTTGACTTTTAATTTACTGGTCAAAGTGAGGTAGAAACATTGGAATAAAACATGAATAACATTTGATTTCTAAGCATGTCATTAAAGTGCCTATATCACTTGTGGGATCTTTACGGATTTGAATAGAGCTTGAAAAATTAGTTTATAAGTTTTACAACCCTTTTTGATATAATTAAATAGTTTCGAAAATACGTCGGTTGGGGGGACTGGGACTCAGGAATGATTTGCAAACACGCCGTCTTTTACAATGTAAACATGAAGAGTTTCACTGGTGATATAGTTTGCGCTTTTCAAGAAAAAAATGCGGGAACGGTGCGTCGTGTATGGCTGTAGCAACTGGGCGAGTTTTTCTCAAAATATTTTACGTTATTGGAAGATCGAAGTAAAATTACAATTGATTATACTATGTTTGACAAGAACTCGGTTCCCGAGTCCCAGGCCCCCGAGCACGACGGAAATTGTGGCAAATTGTCATGTTTAGATATAAATACTTCCGAAACTATTTAATTATATCAAAAAGGGTTGTAGAACTTATAAACTAATTTTTCAAGCTCTATTCAAATCCGTAAAGATCCCACAAGTGATATAGGCACTTTAAGACATTAAGACTGCACAGCCTGTTGTGACATTCTGTTCAATACAATGGCTGCTGCTGTCAAATATTCGACAGGAGGTGTCTGTGAAGAAAAACGAGTGTTTGAAATAACAAATGTCACAAAAATACACAGACGCTTCGCTTTGAAATTTGACAAACGTAGTTATGTCCTTCGAACCTTACACTTCGCCTTCGAACTTCTGTATATTCATCTTGGCAGTTGACAAAACAATTCTTCGGAAGTAGTGTCGAAAATACCGTTCGTCATCTTTCGTATATCCGACGATTGCCGAAGATGGCTTGACACACACCCCCATCCGGGCATATTTTCGACTAAAACATAACCCACAAAAATTCCGTGTTCTGTTGCGTGACATATCGCTCAAAGGATAGACAGTCTATAATCCAAAGATACGAAGTGACCCGTTTACCGATACAGTCTAAAATTAATATATGTCTTAATGTTGCTTTAGTCATCGAATAAATAGGTAAAATACAAGTTTGGGCTAGGGAGGAAGCGCTCCTGATTGTCACATTCAAGTCCATAGACTCAGCATTAAGTTATTCTCATCATAGTCATAGATCAGTCGAATCGTATACTGTCCAACTAGCGTGTGTTGTTTGGTCAGGTGATGTCTTAGGGGCTAACTACCTCTTTCATAGTATGTAGCGTGTGTGCATGCATAACATCATGCGCTTGGGCGCAGTTGCGTAATGGGGAGAATATAAACCGCAGGAAAACGATTTGAAAGCCATTTAAGCACGAGTCTTTGGGATAAAAGATTGATGATATAGAATTATATCCTATAGGAGTAGTTCCCTTAAACCCAAATCCAAAATCCGTGCATGTGTGTATCGTTTGGCGCAGAACACCCGCCTGCTAGTACACCCGTTCCTCGTGTTCTAAATCACATATAGCAAGAGTTCTAAATTTTAGAACGTCGGATATATGTGACACAGGTGATCACCTAAGCATCCTGTGAGGTATTCATTAAGGTAGCTCTACGTATTTTTTTCTCTTTTGCGCGGTTTGTCAATATGGCGACTCATTCGAGAAGTTATGATGTTTTAACTGACGAGCAAAAGCGTGTCCTAAGGTCTTTTTATGACAGCGGTATGAAAACTACAGCAAAGGATATGCACAAAACGATAATGCGAGCTGCTGATGAGGTTGGGTTAAGCTACGAAAGAGTTAAGGTAACATTTACAATCATATTGTTTAATATTTTTTGATAAAAATCGTGTATGACATAGTCACATACACATCCCCTTTTGCTCATTCACACTGATACTATCTCGTTAATACAGTTATTGAAATAGGACAATAGGTATTGACATTGTGCTGGTATAAAAATTCCGAACAGTTCCGGACAGTTTATTAAAATTCATGAATAATCCATAATCCATTGCTTAATTTGCATAAGTTCATAGTATGATAAAGTATGGCCGCGCGGAATGTAATCAACTGTGAATAATATACTGTATACTCACTGCCCTGGCAGATTCCAACGAATGATAAATGTGTTCTTTATGTAGTATTATTATTATCACCATGTGATTTTGCTTTCCCATCGAAAGTCTTTTGCCATGACATGTCCCTTTCCCCTACCTAACCTACTTTAAATTGGCTAGAAAAACAATTTATACAGTGTTTGGAAATTTCAAATTTGGCTAATTAAAAGTAAAAAAATTTTACATATATAATGTTACAGAAGTGGATTGGAAATGAGAGAAGGAAAAGAAAAGTAGTGGAAGGAGTAGAAACCATGCAAGAAGATACTGGGCAATCAGAAAGCCATGTTGTTAAAGGTCCTCCGCTAAAGCGTTCAACTTCAGGTTTCAACATATTTACATCAAAACTCCTCAGCTCAGGTATGAGAGCATAGCAATATGAAAAGCTCTGGATAAAAAAGCTTATTTATACTACATGTATTTGTAACTAGCTGTAAGTTCTACGACTGGTGTTAGTAATACAGCATCTTTGGTAGATTAACCCGATCCCATTGCTGGCTGGAGTTTTGCATGATGAGTGCAATTCAGTGGCGTAGCCAGCCCAACTATTTGGTCATGCAATGCAATATTTTCATTTATTAATTTATTTAAAAATCTATATAAACATAGAAAAATTTGCATAGCATGATCAAAATAGTCGGGCTGGCTATGCCACTGCAATCATCTGGTGCTAGACAGGGTAAAATCTGTTGAGCAGCTTAATCTATCGAGCTGCTTGTTGCCACCGGCCTCACTGGCAACTGGTTAATTAGTGAGGAATGTTCATCAATGACTACAGTGTATGTCATTTTCTTTGTAGATGAATGTAAGAAAATTGAGTCAAAATCTGAGAAAATGACCTTTGTTGCAACAAAGTGGCAGTCTCTGAGTGATAGTGAACGAAGTGTTTGGAAGAATGAAGCTAAGAATATTAAAAGAGTTGTGCCGTCACTGCTAACATTGGAAGAGAAAAAAAAACAAATTGCAAAGTCAAAAAAAAATCTCATTAAAGAGGTGAAAAGATAATATATTGTAGTCCAAAATATAACTAACCATAACTGTGGATACCCCTGTTAAGATGATGATGAATGCATTTTTAAAATGATGAATGCATTTTTTAAAATGATGACTGCATTTTAAATTTGTTTGCTATATGGTATTTTATTTGCCGTTACCACTACCACTAACTCATTGCTGGTGGGAGCTTTCTTGTGACAAGTAAAATTGCCTGGTATTAGACAGGGTAAAATCTGTGGCCAGTTATAGGTGGCCTTGCTGGCCATGGCTTAATTAACAGATTTTACTATATCTCATGTAAGGGACTCAGGTGATTATACTCATCAGTCATAAAGGAAAAGCCCATGGGTTAATTATAATAGAATAATTATTTAATAATTTTAATATCTTTAATTCTTAGCTAACATATCTTGAAAGCCTGGGATGTGAATCAGCAGTTCTTATGCACGACTCTGGAACTGGGACTGTTAACCAGTATGGATCAGCAAAAGGAGCACAGTTTCTGCTGCAAGATAATGCAGTGGCATTGAAGTTCATGAATTTTTTCGGTAAGCGTATTTTTAGCATAAAAATTTAAATGCTCGCAACCAGGCCTTTGAGGATGAACAGATATGCTGTTAGCCTCTGTGCACACTCTACACATATGCACAAAAGGGCTTTATGTAGAATTGCAATGCACAAACTCTACCCACAGCCATCTTGTGCGTTCGCGTAGAGTCTGTAGTGGCACATGCTAGCCTGCTGTCAGTAGTGCCACTTTGACACTACAGTATATTATGTTTATTTTAGATACAACAAATAGGGGTCCAAACTACACTAATAAAGATGTAAGAGACTTGTTTAACAAGAAGTACAGTGAGTATTTTAATTTGAAATGTATGCTAAATTTGTTTTTATGAATTTTGCTATAAAAGCTAAGTGTGCAGGGTAAACTAGTAGTATCACATGGCATATTAACCCCATCGCTGCCCAGGCGGGCTGCAACTAGCCCTTTCGTAGATTTTACTCTGTCTAATGCCAGATGATTTTATTCATCAAGGGAAAGCTCCTAGTAGCAACGGGTTAATTGCTAAATAAATATCCAGTGACTGGGATTTTAGTATCCTACATTAAAAGTAATTAATAATTGAATCATCTATAATAAGTTTTCTTTAAATGTTATAATAGGTGAAGCATGTGGGAAACCTGGTTCTCGTGTGCCATACCTGAAAAAAGGTTTCACAGTAACTGGTCTTCCTAATGGAATAGAGTTTAGAAAGCCAAATAACTATGGGGAAGAGAAAGTTAAAGCAATAATGAATGCTCAAGAAGGCATAGTTTTTCAACTTGAACCAGAGCCTAGCATCACACATTCTGATCCTGCAGTAACTGAAGAAATCGACCCCCAACAAGCTGAACTTCAACATATTTTATGTAAGGTGGTTGACCAAGAAAAAGCTTTACAAGTGGTGACTGACCAAATTTGCATCGAGGAGAGTGATATGGAAGTCACAGATCTTGCACTCACTGACATGGAGTATAATCTGTTAACAACAAATTACAGAAATTGCTTCACAGAAGATGCATTGACTGCTTTGGCAGCCAATTATAAATCATTTTCTAATCATAAGGGATACATCCTGCCTGTCTATACTGACACAGAAGATGCTTATTGGCTGTTTTATTTTCCTGACAAGATGTCTGATCTTCTAAACCAGCATTCTCAACAACAAATTTGGGGATATTGGTTAAATGCAACTGAAGACAAGTTGACATTCAAGCTTATTATGTCAAAAAACAAAGTATCTATTGACACTTTGAATATTATTACAAAGGAGAATAATTCAAGTAGTTTCCTATTTTTACAAAAAACATTGTTGCTTAAGACTAAGACAACAGTAAATCTTCCTGAGCCATTCCATGACCAAATTTATGCTATTTTAAACGAGTATGGCTTCATATAGTTATATATTTATGATTCCATAAATGTAAATAATGTATCCTGTAGTATGGTCACCAGAGTTTGCTATAATACCTGTCACATTTCTTATCTGGTCAAATAATATTATATCCGTAAGTATAATTACTTATTTCTACATTTTGTAATTTTATGTTTCTATTTTAGCATTGGTATTTCTTTTGGTATTTCATACAGTACAGTTGTTTTTTGTTTATTGGTTTGACTAACTACAACAAAAACAAACAAAATGAAATGAAATATTGTAGAAAAACTGATGACATGGTCGTGATGGTCAACAACTTGTGGCCAATTGGATATTGTAGGTTATCAAAATTAAATGTATTAGTGTTTGCCAACAACACCTGTTAATATTGGACCATAGTTGCACAGAATACTAATGCACCTATCAATGTTTAGCCCCATGGGGGGGGCATACCCAGGGGAATTGAACACTGAAGATGCCACGAGAGTGGGGACTTTGACCGTATGGAGGGGTTGCTATATGCTGCTTATCAAATTTTCGGAAAGCAAAAAGGTGCTTGAAAGGTGCCTAACTCTGCAGACTGGCCCTGGGGTGGGAAATTGACACTTTGTAGCAAAAAAAGTCAAGATCCCCTGGCCCAAGGTAAGACACCCCACCCTGGGGCTAAATTGATAGGTGCATAACCTGGTTGGGTCAATGACCTAAGTCCTAACTGAAGCTATCACGTACATCATTCATTTCAACAAATGTTTTAATTTATATTGTAGCTTACCTTGCGTCTCCGATGACGGCAACATATTAGTTTCAGACGAGTTCTCACTCTCGCCAGACATCACCCTACGAATTCCTTGATAATAATAAACATGGTTACTGTGTGCCCTTTTCACGTTTGGGAAACACTGTCGAATCCACATTCTCTCTGAGAAATTGTATTAAATATTACGTAATTCAGCCTTAGGGCTGCGATGTAATTTTCCTTTAATAATAATAATAATAATAATATTAATATTAATAATAATAATAATAATAATAATAATAATAATAATATTATTATTATTATTATTATTATTATTAATATGAATTCATATATAAATAATAATAATATAATAATAATAATAATAATATAATAATATAATAATATAAATAATAATAATAATAATAATGATAATGATAATGATAATAATAATAATAATAATAATAATAATAATAATAATAATAATAATAATATTGCCGTTACTGCCGTTTTTGGTGTTATTAGCGTTATTGCCGTTATTAGCGTTATTGCCGTTATTATACCGTTATTGCCGTTATTGGTGTTATTGGCGTTATTGGTGTTATTAACGTTATTGGTGTTATTGGTGTTATTGGTGTTATTGGCGTTATTGGTGTTATTGGCGTTATTAATGTTATTGGTGCTATTGGTGTTATTGGTGTTATTGGTGTTATTGGCGTTATTGGTGTTAATGGTGTTATTGGTGTTATTGGCGTTATTGGTGCTATTGGTGTTATTGGTGTTAATGGTGTTATTGGTGTTATTGGCGTTATTGGTGTTATTGGTGTTATTAGTGTTAATGGTTTAATGGTGTTATTGGTGTTATTGGTGCTATTGGTGCTATTGGTGCTATTGGTGCTATTGGTGTTATTGGCGTTATTGGCGTTATTGGTGTTATTTGCGTATATATTGGTGTTATAACGGCAATAACGCTAATAACGGCAATAACGCTAATAACAGCAATAACGCTAATAACGGCAATAACGGTAATAACGACAATAACGACAATAACGGCAATAACGGTAATAACGGCAATAACACCAATAACGGCAATAACGGTAATAACGCTAATAACGGCAATAACGCTAATAACGGCAATAACGGTAATAACGCTAATAACGGCGATAACGCTAATAACGGCAATAACGCTAATAACGGTAATCACATCAATAACGGTAATAACACCAATAATGCCAATAACAGTAATAACACCAATAACGGCAATAACGCTAATAACGGCAATAACGCTAATAACGGCAATAACGCTAATAACGGCAATAACGGTAATAACACCAATAACGCCAATAACAGTAATAACACCAATAACGGCAATAACGCTAATAACGGCAATAACGCTAATAACGGCAATAACGCTAATAACGGCAATAACGGTAATAACGGCAATAACGGCAATAACGGTAATAACGCCAATAACGGTAAAAACACCAATAATGCCAATAACAGTAATAACACCAATAACGGCAATAACGCTAATAACGGTAATAACACCAATAACGCCAATAACAGTAATAACACCAATAACGGCAATAACGCTAATAACGGCAATAACGCTAATAACGGCAATAACGCTAATAACGGCAATAACGCTAATAACGGCAATAACGCTAATAACGGCAATAACGCTAATAACGGCAATAACGCTAATAACGGCAATAACGGTAATAACGGCAATAACACCAATAACACCAGTAAAGGCAATTACGCTAATAACGCCAGTAACGGTGATAACGCCAATAACACCAATAATGCGTAAAACAAAGCCAATTATAGACGCCTTTTACGTACGACACTGACGTCAGGAAGGTAAATTCAATACAAAACACATCAGCATTATTCTCATTTAATCACGTCATTTCGGTACTCTTATATGGAAATCAATTATGGAAATCGAGCCCATTTTCTTTTGCGGCCTGTTGCTGCTAAGTTTTGCGGCAATGCCGGGATCTTATCACCAGGGGCCTGGATGAAAGTTAGTGACGCATTATTAAAGGGTGCTTTGTGATGTTTTTAGGGTGCTGTATAATCTAACGGTATGTATAGCGCATATTTTGGAGCCTGTAATTGTCTAATTTTGTCTACTTTCCTGCTAGGTTTGCACGCGCTGCAAACCATGAGCAAACATGTTGTTTGCGTTTGCTATAGGTTTGCGATACTGTATTCGCGGCCATTGCCACTTTTTCAACAGGGTTTGCAATAGTTGCAAATATGTTTTTTCGTCATGTGTAATATTCTTAATTGCATGCATATTACTATAAGAATCGGGCCTGCCGTTATCACAATACGGATAGTATTGATTGATGCCATTATTAAGGTGGGGAACTAGAGGAGATTCCTCTACATATTTTCTCTTTTTGGGACACCTCATTTCTCAATAACATATATTATTTAACCCACCCATCCTCACGCCCGACCATTTTCAATTACATAAAAACATGAACTGAAGATCAAAAGAGAGACAAGGTTCTTTAATTATTATATGCAAACATGTTACAAAGTGTGTAACATTTTTTATTGTGTGTAGCATGTTACAAAGTATCTATAAAATTGTTTTAGCCCCCGTTTTAATGACAATACCCCCTTGATTGTTAAATATTTGGTTCCCCGCACCGCCACGCGATCTCGATGCTCCAGCTCCACCCGGCATGACTGGTCCCTAATCATGCAGTGGCTTCCTGACATTCTGCTCTACTATAGGTACAGTACCTGCTTTCCACACACAGCACCCTATATACACTTCGGTCTCTCTTACTTCCTTACATCATACGCCGCTTTTTTGTTCGTCATTAGGAAAACTACAGAAGTTGTGCACTAATAGCATTAACGAATTCGTGTCACCTTCATCTATTCAAAGCATGCCTTCACACTAACTTTCTAGACTGCAATATAGAATATAGAATAATAGAATATTATAATATTATAGAATACTATAAAATGTAAAATGAGCACTATAATAGCTATCTTCAGCTTAATGACTGAATGTCGTTCCAAAGTAGATTTTCCAGGGTATCTGCAAGGCACCAACAGGGGGGATTGGCCCCACCAATTGTTACGGTACTATGGATGGGATTATGCAAAACTGCTGTAAAACAATATACAGATAGTGGGTGACTTGCAAAAATACTATCTATTACAATCAGAACAACACCGTATTAGGATTTAACTTTTATATACAGCAAATGAAATAATTTAAATATATGATTTCAATCTTTTATAAAGGAATAATATAAAATCTTTTATAAAGAATAATATAAAATGAAGCATAAAAATGACGTTGCCATTGTATTTAACCTCGTTTTCATGCTTTCTTTATATTATTCCCAGCTCATATCTTCGTCGTTCCAAATTGATTCCGAATCAGAGTCGGAACTATCGTACATTGAATAAACGTCGTCTTCGTCGTCGTTGTCTGCAGAATAGTATTCTGAAACGTCCAGTGTTCCTTCTTCACGAGCAATTTCATGTTCTAATAAAGTACTTTGGCATTTCCATTGCATACTAGGAATGGAACATTTCATCTCCTCGCGAATGTTATCTTTGAAAAGTTTACCCAACATGTGAAGTTTATTATCACATTCAAGGATTCGTGATTGAAAAATACAGTTGAGCCCTTTGGCATAAACCGAAGTTGCTTCTTCCTGCACTTCATTGCAACATGACTGGTAGGACATTTTCATTTTGAGGAAGTACTCTACCAACCGCACCATTTCTAGGTCGAGATACTCGATCTCTTCTTTGCATCGTTCAACGAAATTGTGTAAATCTATTGCACTTCTTTTAAATTCTAAGGGTATGTTGTCGTCTGATGGAGTTGTAACTCTTAAGTGGTGATAGCTAGGAGATTCTGGATCTTTCACATCATCGAAGTTTATCGGTTCTGGCATTCCATCTATTGGATCCTTCCAATAAGCCAATGCAGCGTTGTATTTGGCCACAGTAGCTTTTATTGCATTCGTCTTATTGGTGATCTGTTTAGACAGCTTAGCAGCAATTGCTTGACCGTCTATATCAACATAAAATCCATGTTCCATTTGGTTAATCAAAAGTTAGTTAAGGCAAAGACAACTGTGATCAACCAAACAAACAACCAATTCACGTATGTACAGACATCACATTTACGAGAAGAGGAAATCGTTATAACTGTAAAACGTGTTTCGTTTTTACCTGCATACTTCTTCTTGAGTGACATCAAGAACATTCTCTCCACTGCTAATGAGTACAGTCGCTCGTTTGTGCAGCTTCTTCTCTCTTCTTCAATGGAAATTGCAGCTTTGTTGAAATTTTCGTCTCCTAGTTTCCATCTTTGTAGCACTTTGTAACTTTTCTCCGTTGTGGCTACAACTTTCAATGTGCTAAATTACGAAAAAAAAATAAGACGAGATGGAATCGTCATCTCTCGTTACTTATATAGGAAGCTGTTTCCGACTTCCTTCCCAATCAAGTTAATTTATATTATAACAAATGACAGTTATGTATTTTAATGGTCTGTAATGTGGTTAAATATTGTTTGCAAAATAAAAGGAGAAGCAATGCAGGACTTCTATACGAAAAAGACATACTTTTTTATTTTCTTTACAATACTAGCAATGGCTTCGTGATTATCGTGATCGGAAGAGGCAACGGTTGATCTGTAAAATATTGATAGAAGGGAAAAATGCACATTGGAATATTATGTGTACCTGGGGAATGATAAATTTGTAGCTTGAAAAATTTACAACGTAAGGAATTACGTTCATACCTTAGTTCTTGTAGCTGACACAAACTTTGTACATATTTTGCTTGCCAGGATAAGGAAGATGATTTCGTCACTAACATTAAAAAATATTACAAATCAAGTATAAACATTAATTGTTCCAGTTTCAAGAAACTGCAGACTAGAATTCTAGAAAGTATTAATACAAGTGCATAAGCTCACTTTCTCGTTCTTTTAATAACGATTCTTCCTGCTTCTTCCAAGACTCGACAAGATCAGCATCGTAGGACACTAAAAATGAAGTGTTTAAGTATTGTACAATTAAATATCTACAATCTACATATTATCATTTTCAACTTTTAAACTAATTAATCATTCTCAGATGCCACAGCAATCACCTGTCAATTTTGAGAACATTTCTTCCAACTGTAACATGGCATTTACCATAAGTTTTTTAGTTTTTTCCATTTTCTTGGGCAATGATGTTCCTTTTTCAAAAAAGCATTTACTTAGATTTCTACTGCATTTGATAAAACACAATAGAATGGCTAGATGTTCTAAGTTACCAAATTGTTGAATGCGGTGTTCTGCATAATGTACCAGGGCATCTGTCAGCAAATCCACACGACGGCCTGCAGACATCTCTTTTGTCATGGATGAAAACCCTCTTAAGTAAGACCATAACCTTTCAATCCCTTCTCCATCAGTAAGACCATAACCTTTCTTACGTCTGGGGCCATAAGAAAACTACAGCAATAAATATTAAGTAAGCAAACATTTATGAACTTTAGACATATTAGCTAGTAACGTACATTACTTTACCTGACATGACGATTTGTGACCATAGCAATGAAACACTGGGATAGCAAGATCTATTCTTTCAAGTATATCAACACGATGGTTTTTCTATGTAAGAATACATAATTATAACTTGGTCATCCATTCATACAGCATTACAATTGCAGGAAATGAAATTTTTACCTTCAAGTGTGATGACAATGTGCATCCAATGTCATACATAACTCGTACATCAATAGTGTCACCAGAATTACACAACATACGTTCTACTTCATAGACCGAATAGGATATCCTAAACAGAAACAAAATATGCAAAAAAAGAATAAGGAATAACAGAACTAACTATAAAGATGTCTATCGAAATGATACAGCTAGCATAATGACCTTTCTCCATGTTTAATACTGATAAATCCTTTCGGATATTCATGTCTACACACACGACCAAAAACACCTTTCTCGTCAAAAAGTTTGTTCTTTCCCTTAGATCTTAACATAGTGTCAATTTCTCCAGATTTGAACTGATTGCAATCCTTGGTAAAAAAAAACGAATTGTTATAACTTATTATGTGTTAACTTATTGCCAGCAATACCAATTGCAACCTGCTTTGTAACACATTTTACTCCAATGCTAGCCAATTTCACTCGTCACATACATGCAGGAAAGCTCCAGGTGCAAATGGGTTGAGAGGCTAGTTGCAGCTGGTGTGAAACAAAAAGATATGAAATGAAAGCACCAGTTCATGACAAGAAAGGCTTTAGCCTACTACTTACTGTTGGTGCTTCTTCAGCTTTTTTCCCATAATCATCAACAAACTTGTCCACACTTTCTTGCTCTGCAAAGAAGGTTCCACTATGTCGTGGGGGGAAAAGATTTACACCAGCAGATTTTTTCACCAAGCCAAAACAGCCATCCATGGACTCAATAAGAATTCCACCATCATCAGTCTATAACAAGTACATAGCGAAAGTCAAGATAAGTTAGTGAAGGAGTGCAGTAGGTTTCACATGTTTTGGGTTGTTAGCCAAAGATTATGTCAATGTCACCAAGGCCTGCTCCAACCAGTCTCATTATATATTTTACTCTGTATAACACCAGACCAGTGACATAGACAGACCAACAACCTTGTCGTGTTAGCAAATATTTACTTGTTTTCAAATTGCGAAAACAATGAATTTCTAAAGAAATGAATAAATATACTGATGATTTGGAATTTGCATACAGTGTAGCATGTACTACACCACTGCACCAAATAATTTTACTCTAATTAACAACAATAAGTATAAAAATAAATAGACACAAGTTATTTTATTTTTGACTAATTCAGATACATTACTTACAACAATATAATAATACACAAAATTATGCTATTTATATGACTAATTGAATATAAGAAACATTTTATACCTGAGGGCATAAAGGGCACATCTTGTAATTAGTTTGCTCCCCATGATGTGACTTAATGGATTTTAAACAGTGATTATGGTACCTAAAGCAGGTAATGTACACAGTATTATGATTATGGAAGGTATCTATCCAAGCAGATAACTGCAATTAACCTGAAAGCCAGCCTAATAGCAAGAAGAGTATATTATAAACCCATTGCTGCCAGGCAGTCAGCAATGGGTTAAGAACACTAAGGGACAGGATAACCAACTCGTGGACAATAATTAACTTGTTGTTACCGTACTATGTTTTTTTCGTGCCACATTGTATTAAAAATAAAATACTTACCTGAATTCATCAAAAGTATCATCATTTAAAACTCTGTAAAGACTTTGAATCTAAAGGATAAAATATGAAAATTTATTGAGTGTGGTTACACTGTAAATAATAAATGTATACACTATCAAAATTATCAAATGATACTGTATTAAATGATAACTGCTTAATACCCATTTAGGATGTAGTGATGATTTGCCAAGGCCCATAGTGTCGCAGAATTTTGACAACGAGACATGACTTTCAAGAAGAAACTTTTCAGCAAGCAGCAAAAACTTAAAATGAAAGGCAACTAAAGGACGGACAGCAGATCCAGGCCATAACTGCAACTTAACCAGTGTTACGGTATCTGGTTCACAACTACAGAAACTGATGGATTTCTTGTGTTGGAAACCTACATAATAATGTAACACAAATGACATTATTAATGGTTTGAAAACAATCAATACATTATAGGTAGTGCAAATTGATTGAAGTGAAGAAAAGCTATCATTACGACAAAAGAGGTGTGCATGTGTGTATGGTGTATGTATGTATTAAAACTAAATCTATTATAAGCTTACCATGTTGATCAACACAAACAATATCCCTTGACTGAGAGGTGGGGCATGTTGTTTGATGCTTTAGTGAAATTTCCTTATGATTGATCATTAAAGGCCTAAAACATCCATCCTAAAGAAAGAACAAAGAAAAAGAAAAAATTAACAAAGCACAAAATAAATAAGCATGTCAGATATTGACATACTTTTACAATATTCAGAAGTCTTTATAGTAACAGATGAACAGGCCAATAAACAATAAGTGTCGAGACCTTATAAAATTGAATGTTTAGCTGAGTCTTTCATAATGTCTCCAAATATCTACAGTATCTCACTAATCTCAGATGGTGGTCAATATATTTATTAAATGATTTCATTATCATTTTATAAATTAAGAACATAATATCAACAAACCTTGTGTATTTCTGGAATGTGAAAGTAGTTTTTTTCGTGGTGCTCTATTTTAATGCAATCCAAGCAAAAGAACTGCCTTGGTCCACAGTCGAGACAACGACATACTGCTTCATTCGGGCATGCGAAACATGTCAGGCTGGAAATGACTTCCTCTTCAACTACAGCTTTGAGCAATTGTTCTCTCACTGCTTCCCATTTGTTAAATTCCTTTACTCTTCGCTGATGATGCTTTGACAATGTTTGTTGTTCAACCTGGCCTTGAGCTTCATTTCCTTCGGACAAAGCATTCTCGAACGTATCCGCAAAATATGTAGATTCTCCAATGGCATTATTGGCTAAATTCAAATTGTTGTCTTCTTCAGGTTCTTCTGAAACACTTGGGGTTGTCTGGACTGTAATAGACCTTACTATCTTCTTTCCACTTGTACATTGAGTTTTAACACGGACTTTGCTTGGTTTAAAGCGCTTCATCCGACGACTTTGCTCTGCCATATCAGTCCGCCATTTTGTGATATTGCTGTAGAGCTGATGCGCTGGCATAAATTAGCATCTAGGGATGCTTAGGTGATCACCTGTGTCACATATATCCGACGTTCTAAAATTTAGAACTCTCGCTATATGTGATTTAGAACACGAGGAACGGGTGGCTAGTAACCAATACGACAGCTTTGGTCATTATTTTGCGTATTTTACAGTATCAACAAACACTGTTACAAGTAAAGGCGAGCAGACCTTTTTTAAGAGGCAGCCTAATGACAGAGATGACATAACAAGGTTGCAGAGATTTTGACTTCTGCAGTACTATATTAAAATTAGAGTGTCGAGTGCGCGGTAATGTGCATTGAAAATACAAGACTGTTTTAAAATAGCGGGCGTTCTTTACATAATCACCAACTCTTTAAATGGACATTCTTTGTGAAATCATGAATAATAAATGAGTATAATAATAATATTTAATTATACAACGTTACACGGCCGCGAGTGTTGTAAACATTACGTATACCTAGTAAACACAATAACTTGAATACTTGACAATAACAATAAATTGAATACTAATTATTGTTCAAATTAAAATTGTTTTCAAAATCTATTTTAATAAAAGTTACTCGCCGAAACTCCCCTCATCGCAAAACGATCCTGGATCACAGAACACGTTTCTTGGCTAGGCCAAAACGACCCTGCATAGAATCACGTTTCTTATCTAGGCCAAAACGACCCTGGATCATGGAACCACGTTCCTTATCTAGGCCAAAACGACCCTGGATCGTAGAACCACGTTTCTTATCTAGGCCAAAACGACCCTGGATCATGGAACCACGTTTCTTATCTAGGCCAAAACGACCCTGGATCATAGAACCACGTTCCTTATCTAGGCCAAAACGACCCTGCATCATGGAACCACGTTTCTTATCTAGGCCAAAACGACCTTGGACCATAGAACCACGTTCTTTATCTAGGCCAAAACGACCCTGGATCATAGAACCACGTTTCTTATCTAGGCCAAAAGGAGCATGCATTGAAGGAACGTCCTCCATTAATCCCCGTTTTCTATCAGGAGATTCAGCAAGACCAGTCTTTCGCGTGATATCATTAGCTGGATTGAGCCGAAAGAGTTTTCCATGAACTGATATGGCACACACAATGAACAGAAGAAGAGAAACTGTTATAGCTTTACTGAACCTATAAAATAATCCGAAAATAATAATGATAGAGCAATAACTACCTGAAAGAATAAAGACTGGATATAATATAGCAATTTTGAATTTTCACGCAGGGTTATATAATATTCATATACTGCAATGTTAAATCATCAAAGTTATACAGATTTTCCAGAATACAGAAGCCGCATTATAGGTGTTCACAAACGTTTGAACATCTAGTGACTATCGCGGACAGTCAATTAAACGTAATTCGCGTCATTCACTGACATCAGTTTATAAGGATGCAACAAACAAATATATCGAGTAGTGATTTTTACTTACATTTCAATATTCTTGCTTTCTGCGAGTTGCGAATTGTTCGACACTACTGCACTATAGAAATGTTTACAAGAGTTGGTTGTGGTTGTAAGATTTTCCTACAAACAGGTTAAAACAAAAAACAATCAAGCGACGAATTTATGAAGGTAAATAATGAGTCATGAATACTTACAATTTAATGCTTGGTCTCTTCTTTGCTAGATTACAACACAGTGCCGAGAATGTTTACTGCACCACCTCAGTCTTATGACAAACGGTTGGTTATGTCGAGAGACGTCAATGATTGGACTTTTTATCCAGCAAATGATGGGTTTGATTAAAGAAAATTCTAAATATTTTTAAATTGTCAATAATTGTCAGAAATTTTAATCACGCAAAAGGAAAATTAAAATGATTATTGCGATAACACGATTTGACCTTTATAGATAGACTTTTCTAGACGCTTTCTCCTGTTAATTAGTGTATTTCTATATCATATATTTTTGTCAAATGGCTGCGAAGGTTGTCTTCCAATGAGAATGCTTTAAGGTTAAGCACTCGCGATAAGTTGGAAAGGGTCATAAAAATATAGGAAACAATATTATTTTTGTGAATTTTAAATAACTACTGCATACATAGATGATAATAATGGCTGACCTTCTTTATTGAAATAGCATAGAATATTACTCCCTGGTTTTCACATTCCATTACTATGGATCAGAATTATATCAGAATATGTGGTTTTGAGCAACTACTCGCTAACGATAAATCACGCACTTTCGTGATTCAGAAAATATTGCAGCAAACAGGGTCAACCATGTGTGAAATCTGCGGTATGGGTTTTAGAATTCCTTAGCGTCTATACAGTATAGTTATTAATTGACAAAATTCTATTTCCTATCTGCTGTTTTCTTGAAGCCATATGACATAAATGGGTAAAAACTATATGTATGTTTGGAAACGAACTGATTTACCTTTTTTCGTCAAATAATTATAAGGCCGTCAAATAAGGATAAAACTAGAATGCAAATTATGGATACAAGATATGATTCTTAGTAAATGGAACTGGCTTAAAAAAAAAACAAGACACTTCATTGCTCATAAAATGATTGCAATACAAGGCTATTTATTTAGCTATAATATTATATGGAATGCAATTGCTATAAATGAGGCTTTATGCAACATTGTGATGGTTTTTTAATCAAAATAAAGGGTCGGACTGTATAAGGTTGTCTGCATTCAATATATATTCTTATACAATCGCAAAACAATATTTACCGGGTGATAAAACCGCAGATTTTACATATAATATTTTGGCTGAAATTCTTTATTGCAATTGAATAGAAATATTTCTGCCGGTTTTCACATTCCATTAATATGTATTAGAATTGTATCAGAATAATTTATATGGTTTTGGGCAACGACTCGCTAACGATAAATCACGCACTTTCGTGAATCAGAAAATATTGCGACAAAGAGGGTCAACCATGCTTGTGTGAAATCTGCGGTTGGTTAATAGAATTCCATAATATGCTTGGTTGTATGCAGCATAATTATGTACAGTTATTACTAAAAATTCACAAAATATGATTTCCTATTTGCTGTTTTCTTGCACAATAGGGATAGAAAAATCTTCATGTTGCATGGAAGCGGCACTTTATAGAGTTAAAAGTCATTTGAAAATCAACAAAGACGCAAATAGAACAAATACAAAGGAAACGTACCTGGTTATTAGTCTTTGTTTCCATCCACTGAACGCAGACAATGACTGCATTGGCTGGAACTTAATTCTTTTCAAACATTTTAGAATTGAACAATACGCAATAAATATCAATACGACAGCTTTGGTCATTTGTTTGCGTATTTTACACTATCAACAAACACTGTTACAAGTAAAGGCGAGCAGACCTTTTTTAAGAGGCAGCCTAATGACAGAGATGACATAACAAGGTTGCAGAGATTTTGACGTCTGCAGTACTATTAAAATTAGAGTGTCGAGTGCGTGGTAATGTGCATTGAAATTACAAGGCTGTTTTAGAATAGCGGGCGTTGTTTACATAATCATCAATTCTTTAAATGGACGTTCTTTACACGTTGTTGTGAAATCATGATATTCAATTATACAATAATATTCAATTATACAACGTGACACGGCCGCGAGTGTTGTAAACATTACGAATACCTAGTAAAAACCCTAAAACTTGAATACTTTAATTATTGTTCAAATTAAAATTGTTTTCAAAACTTATTTTAATAAAAGTTACTCGCCGAACCTCTCTTCATCGCAAAACGACCCTGGATCACAGGAAACGTTTCTTGGCTAGGCCAAAACGACCCTGCATAGAACCACGTTTCTTATCTAGGCCAAAACGACCCTGCATAGAACCACGCTTCTTATCTAGGCCAAAACGACCAAAAGGACCCTGAATCGTAGAACCACGTTTCTTATCTAGGCCAAAACGACCCTGAGTCGTAGAACCACGTTCCTTATCTAGGCCAAAACTACCCTGGATCATAGAACCACGTTGCTTATCTAGGCCAAAATGAATCTGCCATGGAGGAACGTGCTGCATTAATTCCCGTTTTCTATCAGGAGATTCAGCAAGACCAGTCTTTCCCGTGATATCATTAGCTGGATTTAGCCGAAAGAGTTTTCCATGAACTGATATGGCACACACAATGAACAGAAGAAGAGAAACTGTTATAGCTTTACTGAACCTGTATAATCCAAAAATAATAATGATATAGCAATAACGACCTGAAACTATAGAAATGAGAGTGCTAAGACTGGATACAATATAGGAATTTTGAATATTAACGCAGGGTTATATAATATTTATACACTGTAATGTTAAATTATCAAAGTTACACAGATTTTCCAGAATGAAGAACCCACATTATAGGCGTTCACAAACGGTAGCGCGGACAATCAATTAAACCTAATTCGCGTCGTCATTTACTGGCATTTTATAAGATTTAACATACAAATATATCGAGTCGTGACTTTTACTCACATTTCGATAATCTTGCTTTCTGCGAGTTGCGAATTGTTCGACACCACTGCACTATAGAAATGTTTACAAGAGTTGGTTGTGGTTGTAAGATTTTCCTACAAACAGGTTAAAACGAATACAAGCGACGAATTTATGAAGATAAAAAATAATTCATGAATACTTACATTTTTAGTGCTTAGCCTCTTCTTGCTTTATAGCTTAATCTTTGCTAAATTATATGCAACACAATGCTGAGAATGTTTAGTGCACCACCTCAGTCTAAGTCTTATGGCAAACGGTAGGTTATGTCGATAGACGTCTATGGTTAGATTTTTTGTCCAGCAAATGATGGGTTCGATTAAAGAAAATTCTAAATATTTTTAAATTGTCAATAATTGTCAGAAATTTTAATATTGCGAAAGGAAAATTGAAATATTTTGATAACAAGAATTGACCTTAAGAGAGACTTTTCTAGAAACTTTCTCCTGTTAATTAATTTATTTTCAATATCATATTTTCGCCAACTGGCTGCCAGGGTTTTCTTCCAATGAGAATGCTTGTAGGTTAAGCACCCGCGATAAGTGAAAAAGGGTCATAAAAATATAGGAAACAATATTATTTTTGTGAATTTTAAATAACTACTGCATACATACATGCATCCATGCATATTATCGAACTCTAAGAACAAAATTTCCACGCAGGAAGAGCACAATGAAGCCTCGCACACTCATATAAGTGTACATGTTATAAATGCTATAGATGTATGTCATTTTTTCAATTTTATATATTTATGTCCAAGATTGTAAAAGTGCATGGATGTGAAACTCCTATAAAATATGTATAAAATATACATATTTTATGAAACTGTATAAAATATGCATATTTTATGAACCTGTATAAAATATACATATTTTATGATCTATATATATGCAAACCATAATAAAACTGCTTTCAAACAACAGATTAATAATGTACATGCACAGATTTGTGAAAACTACATGTATGTTTCAAAACAAAGAGATAATATATTAACTTTTTTCGTCAAATAAGGCTAAAAGGATCAAAATAATTCTAATTATTATGGATACAAGATATGATTGTCGGAAATGCATTAATGCAACTGGCTGAAAAAAAGCAAGACAGTGCATTGCTCATAAAATGATTGCAATACGAGGTTATTTATTCATAGATGGAATGCAGTTGATATATCTTAAAGGCCGTTAGGTAAGATTGTGATGTTTTTTTAATCAAGATTAAAGGTCGCACTGCGATCACTGAGCATTCAATAGACCTTTCTTATAATGACGTCAAACGCAGAAAGTCTGATGTTACACGAAGTTTGATTGGCTCGATAGTTTTGTGGAGCCAATCAAATTTCATCTAACATCATACTTTCCGCGTTTGACGTCATTATAAGAAAGGTCTATTAATGTTTTATAATTATATTTTCAAAACAATATTTAACGAGTGATAAAGAACGGCAGATTTTACATATTGCTGACCTCCTTTATTGAAATGGCATAGAATATTACTCCCTAGTTTTCACATTCCTTTGCTATGGATCAGAATTAAATCAGAATATGTGGTTTTGAGCAACTACTCGCTAACGATAAATTACGCACTTTCGTGATTCAGAAAATATTGCAACAGACAGGGTCAACCATGTGTGAAATCTGCGGTACGGACTTTAGAATTCCTTAGCATCTATACAGTATAGTAATGATTTCACAAAATTTTATTTCCTATCTGCTGTTTTCTTTCTATTTCCTATCTGTCGGACTGTATAAGGTTGTCTGCATTCAATTAATATTTTATATAGTTATATACAATTGCAAAACAATATTAATGATAAAGACGGCATATAATATCATGGCTGACCTTCTTTATTGTAATTGAATAGAATATTAATCCCTGGTTTTCACATTCCATTACTATGTATCAGAATTATATCAGAATATGTGGTTTTGAGCAACGACTCGCTAACGATAAATCACGCACTTTCGTGACTCAGAAAATATTGCTACAAAGAGGGTCAACCATGTTTGTGTAAAATCTGCGGTTAGTTAATAGAATTCCGTAATATGCATGGATGTATGCAGCATAATATTATGTAGTTAGTACTGAAAATTCACAAAATATGATTTCCTATCTGCTGTTTTCTTGAAGCCATATTTACATAAATCAATCCTTAAGCACAATAGCAATAGAAAAATCTTCATGTTCCATGGAATTGGCATTTTACAGAGTTAAAAGTCATTTGAAAATGAACAAAGACGTTAATAGAACACATACAAAGAAAACGTACCTGGTTATTAATCTTTGTTTCCATCCACTGAACACAGACAATGACTTGATTGGCTGGAACTTAATTCTTTTCAAACATTTTAGAATTGAACACTTATGCAACGCACGTATTCACATCGTATTTAAAATTTAAAACTGAAATTAATGTCGAACACTGCTTTATCTTTTAATTTGAATGCTTGTTGGTAAAACATTTCACTTTCTTTATACACCGCTATATCAAAATTGCTTTTATACGGGAGACTAAGAGAATCTTAATTTATTTCCAGACCGCGGATATTTTTCTAGTATATTCTAATAGCTAAATTAAGTACTTATTCAAAATTTTATCTTGTTTTTTTTAAGAAAATTCTAGTTTGATTTCATATAAAATACAAGCAACGAGGTTGTTGCATATATGTTTCTGTAGTAAATTGTCAAAAATTAAAATATATGTATATATAGTGCATAGGTTGTGCCTTCATTCATATAGTAAAATAGGTATATTATATATATCGGCCACGTGACCACATATACTTGCGTTGTCATGCAACCGTACTCTCCGTCCTTGAATTGTAATGGCAAGGCAAACCTCAATGTTGATTGCACTTCTTGCATTAATCCTTTAATCCACTGTATATTACGCAATGTGCTCAATAATTCGACTAATGAATTTTATTATACCTATGAGTTTTATTATACCCAGGTATATAATATGCATGCATGCTTCAGAATGCTGCATTGAAAAAGTCATGTGGTTCGGTGTCATGCAGGTTATATATTTTCGAAGATGAAACATATTCATTTGTCTATAGCTACATATTTCGTCGAGATCAAATTATATATTTTTACCATTCTTTCATGCAAGGATTCATTTTCAGTTGTTGTTATGCTAATTGTGTGTTACACTTTACGATTACGCTGTGAATTCATGTGACTGCGAGTAAACATATAGTAAACAGACAACTTAGCAGATATACTTATATGTATGTACATGTATAGTTGAGCGGGGGGTTTATTAATTTAACATTTATTTTACTCGCACAACTTGTACTATATAACTCAGTGCGCTTTCCTTTGAGAACAAAAAAGGCTCGAAACCTTGTCTAAATATATGCTTCCCCAGTATACATCCAACACAAAAATTAATATTAGATGCCTAGAAATATTCGATGAGTTTGAGTCAATGTATGAAAGCCAAAATGCTTTGCACGAGAGAACAGTTCATATAATTATATGTCGTCATAAACGCAAGTATATATTTATTTACTTGTTCCTTCAAATGCAGGAAAGTGTAAGCTGATTTTTGGTTTTCCTAATGCACGCATGAATTTTCATATAATATGAGGTTAAATAAATCGAAATATTCGCAAAGTTTACATGTAATTTCAACGAAGAATAAAACCTCAATTGTTGCTGTTTGTTTTTGAATTTCTTGCTGGTCGTATAAACTTATATATAATTATGTTGACGTGATGCTGCCGCTAATCTAAATATAATTCCTATAACTGCATGTTAAACCAGGAATACAGGATTTAATATAAATTTGTAAAACTATAGATGCGGTAAATATAGAGACGAAACTATAGATGCGGTAATTGAATGCTGCGGTGAATATATTCACATATTCGTGAATAATAATAAATCCAGAATTTGTATAGGCTTTCGCGGGCAAGTAGATTGAGCTTCAGATATTCGATTCCATTTTATTGTATTTTTATCTTCTACATTAATTTCTTTTCTGTAATGATATATGCTTACTGTAATATTTATTTAAAACTATTGGGAAAAACTAAAGGGAAACAAAGTAGAGTTATTTCGTAGCTTATTAACCAGAAATCTACAAATTAATCGTGGAGAGTAATGCTCAAAAATAATGTTCCTATACTAATAGAAAGAACTTTAAAATTATAACAAGAAATTGTTCACAACATCAATCACCATTAATTTCTCTGCCAAAATGTGGTTTTGCTCTCAAAGTTGATAAACGTAGTTTGTGTTCTCGCTGCCATAGCAAATGCTCGATGAGCCGCACAAAGTTGCACTGTTGAGGTAGCATTCATCACTTGCTCCATGTATATCATAATTTATGTCAGCATACGGACCGCTATAGCACTGACCTGAAATTAAAGTAATCGGTAAAATTCATAAAACAAGCATTTTCAGATCCGTTTCTAGTATATAGGAAAGATTGAAATTAAAATATTTAGAATATGTTTGCAAAGCGGCATTAATGAACTTGTTCCAAAACATTTAACATATCACTTGAAGTCTTAACTGTCGGGATTGTGAGATTTTTCCACGAACTATTTCAGGTAATTATTAAAAAGACAAACCTCCGTTGAAGATTCCAAAAGTCCTGTATCCTTTCTCCACGACTTTCCTTGCGCAACGACATACGAAACCTTTCATGTATTCTTGATAATCACTGAAGTCTGTGGAGATAATTCCCATGAACTTCGGACTTGCTGGATTCAGTTCATCAAGAATGAGTTCTGGAAGAGCTCGTTGAGACTTAATTTCATTGTAACAGCCAGTTGCGTTGTAAGGAATCTCACACACGTCTAGAAAAATCGTTGTTCCGTACAGTTTATTAAAAAACAAGAGTATCAACCGGCCCTGAGTACCACCTAGCTATAGGTTAATTGACCTGTCGTATATTGAGCAATATTTTCTTAAATGTGGCCAACGTGCCTAATTCTTACCTCTAGTTACACGATAAACATAGTTTGTGAATTGCTTTCCAACGCAAAATGAGTTATAATTGCGACATGGTTTTGAACACTTGTTCACACAACGTGACGATTCGCCATCTTGGTGGTAAGTTGTAACTTGCTGTGGTCCAGACCAGCATTCACCTGGAAAACGGTGGACATAAATATTATCTTATTTGAAAGAAATGAATGAATGATAAATCAACCTCTCATGCATAATTATTTGACTCAACAACTGATAATTGTTCTAGCTAAGTATGTATCCAATATACGCGCTAAAGGCCACGCCGTAAAATACAATAATTTTAAAACTTTTAATTTGTCATGCTGTGCCAATTTAAACACACTCTC